ACGAGCGCCGGCCCTCGGGGGGAGTAACGCGGGGAAGGAGCCAGGGAGGGCAGGCGGTTCTCGGCGGACACCGAGTCCCGAACCCCGCCGCCCCTTTGATCTTTGTTTCTTTCGTTCCCGCTGTCCCCGCTCCCCCGCCGTCCGTTCCCGTCTCTATTCGTCGCGGTGCGCGGAGCCGCTTGGTCCCACAGGGACGAGCAGGGCTGGGGGGGAGGCAAATCAGACGGGGCGGGGGGCGGAACATGAGTCGGGTCGGGAGACTGTAACTTCTCACCGGGCTCTGGGGACAACTTTGGTCCCAGCCTTTGGAGGGGATCCCTGCCCTGCGAAATTAGAAAGTTATATGGCAATTACCTATAAAACATTCATAAAGTCCAATATTATCTTGTCCTCTGAGAGTCTGGCTTTTTTCCCCCTCTCTGGTGGGTTTCATTTCTCTCTCTCTTCTCTCTCTCCTTTTTTTCCCCTCAAAAGGGGAGGAAAAGGACAAAAAAAAAAGAGGGGGGAAGAGCAGCAAGCGGGCACGTTTGTTTGGGCTTTGCTAATTAGCAGGCGGTTTGCGGATGCTGCCGCTAATAAACTCACGTTGACCTCTGCCTCCCTCTGACAAAAGGGGCGCTGGCCGGGACCGCCCCCCGCGGAGACCCGCGCAGTCCCCGCGGGCACCGGGGCCGCCCGCTCGCCCAGCGCAATGAGCCCACGGAGGCTGGGAACGAGGTAGGAAATGTGGGCTCCGGTAGGGCCCTTTGCTTAATCTAAACAACGATTGCTGGCTGTTCCCTCCAGAAACAAGGCGAGGCGACTGGAAAAAAACTAGTCCCAGCTGCGAGTTTTTTCGCTCGGTGGCTAAACCAAGGCTCTTTTTTTTTTTTTTTTTTTTTTTTTTTTACTGTGCAAATTCGCTGAAAAGTAACAAGAGTAAGGAAACTTCATGCAAAATAGATGGGGCTTCCCCTCTCCCCCCGCCTCCCCTTGCGGCCGGGGGCGCGGGGGTCGAGCCCGGCTGCCGAGGGGCGATTGAAGCGCGAGGGCTTCCGGGATGCAGGGTGGTTTGTTTGGAAATCAAGGCCGGGGCTTCCCGCAGCGGTGACCAGGAGGGGAGAGGCGCTGGGACTGGGTGCCAGCGCTGCCGTTCTGTGACGGTAGTTTGACCGTCTCTAAAGCGGTCTCTGTTAGGTGGGGAACGGTATTCCTGAAATGTATTAAAAAAAAAAAATTATGCGGCGTGAGCTGGGTGGACGGCTGAAGTGTGAATTACTCCCTTTTCTTCCCCCCTTTTCCCAGTTAGGGAGCGAGTCTGGAAGGGAAAATTGAGCCTCGCTTTGTTTCGCTTAGGGAACGGGCTGACTCGGAGGCTTAGGTCACCCCCGCAGCCCGCCACGAACATCCCGGGCTTCGCGGCTTCTTTCCAGTCCCGGGAAGGCGCCCGCAGCCCGGCGCGCTGCGCTACACAAAGAGCCGGGCGGCAGCGCGGGGGATCCGCACTTTGCCTCCGCTGGTGGCATCGCGCGTTTATATACAGGTGTATGTATATAGCGCCGTTTCCCTCCTCTCGGCTAGCTGCATTCTGCTGATCTGCTGCATTCCTGAAGTGATGGGTCTCTCTGCAGCCTTCCCCGCCATCCTCGGTCGCATCAAAACCTGTTCCCGACCCTGGAATGGGATATAAGAGCATAGACAAACGACTCCGTAGCGAAATACAGGGTCTCCCTTCGCGTTAAACGGCGAGAGAGCTCAGCACGGAGGTCTCGGGCGGACGGAACCCCGGGTGTTGCAGCGCTGGGCCATGTGGGAGCCGCCGCCGCCGGGGGTGCTCGGGGCTCC